GCGATTTTGTGCTTCGAGTCTTCTCACGCTGGGAAGACGCATCTGGCCGCAGTGGCAGACTTCCTGACATCGGCTCCGCCTACTTGGGTTCATCGACTCTCTTGGGAGCTGGTTCTGACATAGATGTCTGTGGGTGTGGGCTTTCGCCATGCACTGACTGGCCAACCCACCTATGGGCAGCCCCCATCCCTGTGCCTGGTTAGGAGCCCGCAGACAGGCCCAGAATGGCAGCAAACCACCTCTGCGGGAGCCTGGACTCTGTCCTTGCCAGGAGGGTGTGTCTGTGGCCTTCTCGCAGGACCAAGGACAGAGCTGACTGTGGGCGCTGTCCAACAAATGCTTGCTGAATGAGTGAATGAACGAATGAAGCTCCAGAACCACCTACGGCATTCCCGGATCACAGGTCTGGCGGTGTCTACCTTCCGCCAGAGGTAGGAGTGAGAACATTTGCTAAGAGTTATGGCCGGGGTAAGCCATGGTCTCTATCAGACCCTCACAGTGGTCCTGCAGGAAGGTGGGAGCAGATTCCACCCGTCACGTGAACTGATGGCAGCTCAGCCTCACCCAGTCCATACCCGGCAGCCTTTGTTACTCAGCACGTGCCAGGCTGTGCGCACAGAGCGAGGCCCACAGGCTCCAGCCAGGCAGGCAGGACACCTGCTGTCATTTGAGTCCAGCAACTCCCGGGGTGCTGGGAGGAAGGGCAGGCTGGGAAGGCCTCTATCCCATGGCTAGAAGACTGGGTTCTCTACAAGTCACAGGGACAAAGTGGCCACCTTTTCAGCTTAGAACATCTGCCCACCAGCGCTGGGAGAACAGAGCAGCGCTGAGGACGTCCTGGGGCCAGACTGAGTACAGAACCCCTAGAGTGATCAGAGAGCAGAGGTATGGGGAGAGAACACACAGGGGGAGGTGGAACAGAGAAGCAGGGATGGAGCTGTGCAACAGCGGGGGGAGGGCTGGGATGGTGGGTTCTCGAGACGTTATTGAAAGTAGAACTTGGAGAAGAGGAAGCCCCATGGCCCCAGGAATGGCTGTGTTGAGCTGCAGTCTCCCCTCTGCTCCACCATCACCTCAGTCCCACTTGACCCAGTCACTGTCCTTCCTCGGTCCTTGGAGCCGTGTGGTTCTTTCGGCTTCCGCTTACAGCATTCAACCCATGCTCACACCTTACTTTCACATCCATCTCGGCAGTAACCCCCTCTCTTCAGGCTTGGCCATGGATCTGAGGAGCCGGAGGGAGGGGAGAACAGCCTGCTTCCTCATCTGCTTCTCTAAGTTTTCCCAAACTGCCACGATGCCTCCAGACTCTCCTGCATTCTGGTGGGGGTGGGAAGAGGGGCAGAGTGAGAAGAAATGTGAGTGGAGGAGCTGGTCAGTGCTGCTCACTGCTCTCCTGCCACAGGGTCCCCTGCCATGGTGGCCATGTAAGACTGGCTTGCGGGTGGGGCACAGATACGGGCCTCTCCCTCTCCCCCACTGCCCAGAGGGCTCCGCGCACTTCCCAGCCTCCATATGCCTTCCGCAGCTCTGGCCCCTGCCCTGTAACAGCCCTCCACTCACTTCTTGCTCCAGAAAACCCTCCCCCTTGAATCACATCTTTTTGAGACAGATGAGCTCAATCTCCCTTCCTGGCATTCACCGGCCACAGAAAGCTCAGGGCTCCTTCTGAAAACTCAGCTTGGCTGCCCTGGAGCCCTCCCTTCTCCCTGCTAGGCGCAGGCACTGGTCCCTCTGCCCACCAGCTTGGGGACAGAGTCCACTCTAGGAAGGCCAGTCTCACATCCCAGCAGGAGCAGCACACAGGCTATGGGTGGCCTTCTCGCAGACACCCAGGCCACCACGGGGATTCTTGGAGGCCCAAGAGGAGTGGGCTTTGCCTTCACAAAGCAGCATAGATCAACTTCCGCCTGTGGAGTACACCTTGAGCCTTTTTAAATACAAGCTCTTCAGGATGACGATTGCAGGAGCAGCTCAGGGTCGTCTCTGCCAGCGCTGCCTGCAGGAGCCCCACTTTTCTGTAGAATGTGGGAGAGGAGGGGAGCACGCATTGTCTGCAGCCTGGAGGAGTGACCAAGCAGTGCAAACAGGACAGTCCTGCTGAGCGTCCTGCTGCAGAAAGGGAAGCTCAGGTATTTTGGGGAATGTGTCGAATACAGCCGATGGTGGAAGTGTGTTAAATACAAGCCATAAACTCTGCTCTCCCACATTGCACTGCTGTTTTTGTTTGTTTGTTTTGTTTTGTTTTTTTCTTTTTTTTTTCTTGATGACAGAGACAGGGCAGAGAGAGTAAAGGGAAGAGAAACGTCGACATTTTGGCAGGGTCTTGCTGCGTTGTGACCCTCCTGCCTCAACCCTCCAGTTGGCTGGGATCACAGGAGCGTGTGCCACGCCTGGGGTGAGCAGGACGGTTTGCAAACAGAACTGAGCTCTCGTCCAGCTCCTAGCCATCCAATCAGTGGGGCAATCTGCAGCCTGATCTCAATTTCCTTCATGAGAGAGAGAGACAAAAATAGAGACAGAGCGAGGCAGGCAACCTCCACAGGACCTTCCTACTGCCCTCCTTGCCCCAGCCCCACAGCTCGCCGGGTCACAGCACACCCATGTGCTGAGTGAAGCAGCCCCAGGACGCACACCCAGCCCCTTCCCACATGGCTTCTGGCCTCACACAGCGGTGCCCCCTCTGCCTGCATCACCCCAGCTGGGCCAAATTCCACTCTTCATAGCAGGAGTGGCCCAATTTTGCTTTTAAGGTCCAAAGAGTAAACATTTTCATTTTTGCAGGTCACACAGTCCCTGTTTCCTTTATAGCAAGAAAGCACTGCACAGCGTGGACGCCGATGGTGCAGCCTCGCCAAGAAACTGTTCTAAACGCCAGGGTAGGCCGTCTGCCGGCTCAGTGGTGTGGTCCGAATGTGTGCCCCCAAATTCATGCCCTGGAAAGTTCATTCCCAGCACAGCAGTGTCGGGAGGTGGGGCCACTGGGCGGTGTTCAGGTCATGAGAACGTGAAAGGATCCAGGTTAGAAAAGGGCTTCTGCAGAGGGAGAGTGGCCCTATTCGTCTCCAGCTCTCTGCCACGGGAGGACATGGTGTCTCGGGCACCATCTTGGAAGGGAGAGCAGCCTTCAGATACTGGGGCTGAGATCTTGGACTTCTAGACCTCACACTTGGAGAAATAAATTTCTGTTCTTTACAAATGAACTATTCTGTTACAGCAGCACAAATGTTCTAAGACTGTGGCTTATACATGACGTTGAACAAGGACGTCATGGCTAACAGAGCGTACATCTGTGAAGACTTAGCAGCACTGACACAGTGTACACGACACATGCTTTGTAAATGCAGGTTCTAAAGGAAGATTTTAGAGCACGTGTTCTCATTCTGAAGTACAAGGCATCCTTGAGTCCCTTAAAATTATAAGCAAAATGTACGGTTGCATGGTTTTCTAGAAACTCAATTCACAACAGCCAAGAAATTCCCAAAGAGTTAAAAAAAAAAAAAAAAAGATTGAAAACCTTTGTGTAAATAGCAAAGGCCCGCCTAATGGTGGTGTGCAGCTAAGACACTGTGCTTTGCAGGCTGAGACCACATGGGACGCCCCGGTTCAGTTCTCGCTGGTGCACCAGGCCTGTCACCTTAGTGACTTGGTGAGGCTGAGGCAGGACAACTGTGAACTTGGGATTGGCCTGGACAAAACAAGGAGACCTGGTCTAAAAAAGAGCTGGGCATGGCAGCTTGTATGTGTAGTCTTAGTTGGAGGCTGAGGCAGGAGGATCAGACATGGTAAGGGGGCCGGCAGGTGGCCCATGTGGTAGTTCAGGGTGCTGGACTCCCACATGGGAGACCATGGTTCAAATCTCGAACCTGGCAGCTTGCCTTCTCGCTTTCTCTTCTCTCTCTCTCTGTCCCTCTCTGGTCTAATTTAAATAAATAAATAAAATAAAATAATTCTTAAAAAAAAAAGACATGGTAAGATCCTGTGTGTAAAAATCTTATAAATAAATATACAAACAAATAAGTACATAAATAAATCAATTATCTCAAAATGCACAATCTCACATTTTCTTTCTTATGAAGACTCTATGAGTCACTCTGTAGAACTCTAAATGAGCGTGCAATGACCCTTTGTAGTTTACTTGGCGTCCGTCACATGGCTGGCCCCACACCTCCCCAGGTGAGGACGGAGGGGGCAGCAGGCCGTCTCTCCCAAAGCCGCCGCCTCCTTTCCCACAGCACTAGGGCTCCAGTCTCTGCCGGCTCTCCCCACAAACTCCAATACCCTACAGTCCAGCAAAACCAGGAGTGCTTCCCAGGAGGATCAGTGCCTGCAGACAGGCCAAGCAGGAAACGGAAAGGAGATTTCACATAGGTAGAGGAATATTCTTAGAAATTTCTTTTTACTATTGTTTTGGTTTTCTTATAAGCCGTGCCAAAAACCACACCTTATAACTCTGGGAAAGTGGCTTTCTCCAGCTAAGCGAAGAAGCCTCTAAACCCCGAATTGTGGGCTCTACAGATGACCTAAGTGGGACATTAAAAACTTGCAAACACAAACAAAACAGCCTGAGCACTGTGCACATGGTCACCCCCACTGGGGGAAAAAAAAAAAAAAAAAAACCCAAACCAAAGGTGTTCCAATGGGAGGAGCGTG